AAAGGCCATATTTACCTTTGACCAAAATCCATTTTCCTCTCCTGTAATGTTTCTTTATTGTACTAAGCTAATGCTGTCACCATTAATCTCCATGATGAAGGCCCAGGACCAGAGTGTGGCTTTGCTACAATTTCTGGTAATGTGAGGGAATCTTCAAAAATTCAAAGAAATGTGCATTATGAAATAAATAAGTGTGATTTCAATTTTCTTGTTCTAAAATGAACTCTCACTTTAATTCTACTTTCCACACACCTTCTGAAGTTTTCTCATATTAGCCATGGGAACCTATGAGGTTGAGTGATAAACTTGCTGTTGCTGAATAGCCACAGGGCTGGCAGTGGTGTGGTGGCTGAGTCACTGGACTCCCACATCACCGACCAGGTTCCAGTTCCGGACCTGGTCACTTGCATTCTCACTTTCCCTTTTCTCTTACCTTTTTCTGGTCAAATTTTAAAAATAATAATGATAGGGACCAGCAGTTGGCATAATGGCTATGTTGTTAGACTCCCATGTAGCCAACCATGGTTCGAGCCCCAGACCCAGTGGCTTAAACTCACACCGGGTGCGTGTGCGTGCATGCCCAAGATCCTGAGAGGAGAATGGAGGAGAAGGGATTGTGGCGTGGCCATCCCCCCTGAGGGGTGATTTCTCGCTTTGTGTCTCTCTGTCTCTGTCTGTCTGGTGAGCGCACACGCCCTGTGGCAAAAAACCTCTCCAAAAACAAAAAATAAAAAAATAATAATAATGATAAAAAATAAGATAAATAATTTTTTAAAAAATAAAAGAAGAAAAACTAAAAGAAACCTGTAGCCACAGCTTAGGGAGCACAGAGACGTATCATTACAAATATTCTGGGGGCCCTTTGGAAGTAGATTTGTCCCAGCTTGTACTTGTGAGATCTAATGGCCTTGGCCATTGTTGATTTTTTTCAGGACAGTTGTACTGATTTGATCATTCCTATTCTGTGTCCCCAAGCCCAGAACTCTTTTGAGTATTTCACAAAGATTAACAAGGCTACTTAAGTACGTGATCAATTTTACATAGAAACACTGACTTTTCTCATGCTTTTTGGAAGTTCTCTCTGGCAATATATATTTAACTAATTGGAATTTGATTTTTTAAGAATTATTTTATTTAACTTTATTTATTTATTTTAATTTGACTAAAGAGGCACAGAGAAAGAGAGTGAGAAAGCAAGCCACCAGGTTTGGGACCCAAACTTTGGTTGAACATGTGGGAGTCCAACACCCTTAATCACCATGTCACCTGCCAGCCCTGAAATTTGATTTTTGTTTTATTTTACTTTGTTTTGATTTGTGTGTGTGTGTGTGTGTGTTCTGAGAAGGAATCCATTACTACTTAATGACTGGAGTCTATCTGGTATATAAGCCTTTTCAAGAAGTGGTATACCTTAAATGAAGTTTAGCATCAGACCTAAATTCCCAAGACACCTCTACCACTTACCAGCTAGGTAAATATAAACAACAAAAAAAAGTAACCTAAACTTGAGCTTTCACATTAGTATAATGGGAATTACAATATATACCTCATAACATTCTGGAGAAAGTTATTTTAATGAGATAATGTATATAAATACTTTAGTACCGTTCCTGGCATGCACTGAAGACTCAAGGACTGGAGGTCTTTACTATAATTTCAAAACATAAGTCCCAAGGCCCAAGAGATAGAAGTTACAAAAGAGGCCTTTGGTGGGAAAAAAATGCATTTATATATATATATATGTATATATATATACACACACACACACACATATGAACACACACACACACACTACTAGATTTAATGACACTGCTAGGTTTACCATAACAGCTACAAGAAACAAAACTGTTCAGTGTTAGTGGATTATTTGAAGAGTAGAATAAATAGCATAGGAGCTGGGTGGTAACATTAATAGATGTTGTTTCATCTTGATGGTGGGCAAAGGACATCATCCAGAAAAGGAATCTGAAAGCAATGCTGAGAGTGCTCTCATTCAGGTCAACCCTAAAAATACTCCTCTTCATTTAAGTTGAGAAGTTGCCGTGAGATTCAAGGTTGGGCTTTCAACAGATCTAGCCATATGTGCTCTCCACTTTGGTGAAATTCGATCATGACCTAAGCCTGTGCTATCCTTGCCGACTGACAGCTGACCTCGGCCTTCTCTGTGCACCCTGCATAGTTCACCTTTCAGAAAAAGAGGTCTCATTTCCAAGAGAAGCATTATTCTTTGTTCTTTTTCACTTTATATTTTGTTTGTATGAATTCAAAGGGTGGAGGATGTGGGGAGTCTGGATTATACTCTACTAAATTACTTTTTTCTGAATAAGAATTCTCCAGAAGATTTTACTTGAATTATTATCAACACTCCGGAAGAACAATTTTCTCAGCTTTTAAAGGTATAAAATATAATTCAACTCATATATGAGGGGTCTTCAACAAGTTTGTGGAAAATGCACATTAAGAAAAGATTATGTGTGGATTTCAGGGGTTTTTTTGCATTAAAATTAATTTGTATTCTAATTACATAATAGAAAAAAATCAATACCCATTATCTAAAAAACAAAAGACATTGAGAAATATAATTAAAAGATCCAATCTAGTAATCAAATACTTGTAAATTAAAGAAACCTTGAGATACCATTTTTTAAAGAAGCATTTGTTTAATTTTATTTATTCATTCATTTATTTCAATTTGACCAGAGAGAAAGGGAGGGAGGAGTTAGAAAACAAGCCACCAGGTTGGGACTCGAACCATGGTGGGCCATGTGGAAGACTCTAGTGCCTTAACCACCATGCCACCTGCTGGCCCCAAGATACCATCTTATACTTACTAAAATACCTTTTTTCATTTTTTTTAAAATTAAGGCATAGTAAATGGGTTCCCTCACCATTGCTGGCTGCATTATAAATTGCAGTAACTCCTTTGGAAAGTGGTATTGTGGGCTAGGGGGTGACATGATAGTTAAGGCAGCCAGATCCCATATGGCCGACTACATGGTTCAAGTTCTAGACCTGGTGATTAAGAAACATGCCAGGCATAGGCACATCTGTGCATGCCCAAAATCCCAAAAGTAGAAATGGAGAAGGGATTGTGGTGTGACCATCCCTCATGGGAAGTGCTTTCTAACTTTCTCTCTTTCTCTGTCTCTCCCTGTAAATGCATGTGCCCTCTAGCAAATAAAGAAAAACTGGTATTGCCATCTGTGGAATAAGAACCCCCTCCTTTGTCCCAGGCTTTGATTACTTTGACCTTGATTGCCTACTCTAACCAATGCTGGTGTCAGAGAGCCCTGGCCCTGGGCCCACTCTGTACACATCGTGGACCAACCTGGTCCCACACTTTCTTCCTGTGAATTACTGAGTGTTTCATCCCTTGTAAGATGAGCTCTTCCTTCCCCTTGCTTCCTTCCCTCTGTAGAATTGGAGTCATTTCCTCCATGCCTGCTGCTGCAGTGCATCTCAATGTCCATGAGGGATCTTTCCGGTTCCCTTGGCCACAAGACAGTTGGCTGATAAGATTGCTCACATCGCATCACCTTCACAAGATATTTAAATAGAAACATTGGCAACAGAGTCTAGAAAAGCCAAGGGAGTAGGTCTGATCTCTAAATCTGGAAAGGCAACTCTGAAAGAAACCGAGCCCTGAGCCATCTTGAATTTCCTGATAAACCATTATATACTTTGTTTTCTGGGACACTTTTGCACTTAGGGCAACCAAATGTTCTGCTCTCTGTATTTGTTTGTTTGTTTTTATTTATGTTTATAAGCCAGGGATTGGCTGTGCTTGCCAGAGAAAGAGACAGGCAGATAGGAAAAGGGAGAAAACATCTCCAGTGGAATGTGGTCACCCTGCAATCCCTTCTCCTTCACTTCACCATCCTGTTGAGATTTGGGGCATGTGTGTGCACCAGCATGTTTCTCAAGCCACCTAGGACTCAGTGCAGTCAGCGATATGGAATCTGGCTCGCTTAGCCATCAGACCAGCCCCATTGTGATTTCTTTTCAGAATGATGAAAATATTTCATAAAGAGTAGGCACTTAAAGAATGAAAAGACTTTTACCTATTAGCCTTTCCTCAGTCATAATTCACTTGTTAGTAGCTTAAATTCTATGCTTTAGATCAATTTTGCTCTTTTTTGTAAGTTTCATTTTTGTTTTGATTTTGGTTTGGTTTGGTTTTTTAGGTGAACAGTAAGACTTTATAGATAGAACTGTTTAGGAAAAATAAAGCAACTTTCAATAGCAAACTATCGTCAGCCCTAATAAAAGCAAAGTTCCCCAAACAAGGAAATCTGTTTGGGGTGCAAGACCCAGAAAGAATATACTGGAAGCCCACAGTACCCTCTCCCCCACCAACATACAAACACACAAGGACACACGTGCTGTCACCCACACAGCACCTTATGCTTTGGTATCAGTGAAATCTGGTAAAGTGACCTTTAAGCACAGCCTTTCCTAAGAAATGCTGCCTAGGGCCAAGGAGGTGTGGATGGAGCCAAAGGGAAAAGGGGTGTGGCTTGGTGTTCCCCCTTGTTATGATCTCTGGAAGGAATGCTTTTGGTCACCATCTTCCACTGAACCTCCAACACATACACACATATACACCTTTCTTCTTATGGTCTTCATTTCAAAGAAAGGAAGGAATCAGAGACCAGCAGGTGGCGTGGTGGTTAAGGTACTGGACACTCCCACATGGCTGACCATGGTTCAAGTCCTGAATCTGATGGCTTGCTTTCTCGCTTTCTCTCTCTCTCTCTCTCTCTCTCTCTCTCTGTGTGTGTGTGTGTGTGTGTGTGTGTGTGTGTGTGTGTGTCTGTGTCTGTGTCTGGTCAAATTAAAATAAATGAATGAATAAATAAAATTAAATAAATAAATCTTAAAAAAGAAAGAAAGGAATCAAAGCTGGCATTTCCCAGCAGTCCAGACCAGTGCTTGAGCTGTGAATGTACACCTGATGCGATTGGTAATCTGCATTTAAAATCTTTCTTTTGTTTTGGCAGAACTGGCTTATGATCTGGACGTGGATGATGCTCCTGGAAGCAAGCAACATGTGAATCAGAAGGACAATGAGCTAGCCGCCTCTCACAACCTTGGGAATGTCCATTCTCCCCTGAAGCGTCTAACCAGCCTGGCCATCTCTGTGATGTGCTTTTTCTTTTTCTTTCTGGTGCACTGACTTCATAGTGCCTGTCACATGTGCTGTTCCACAGCACCCCGTGGTCTTCCTCCATAAAGGGAACCACTTTCTTATTTTTTTTTCTATTTTTTTTTAATCTTATATACATCCTCCAGCCATTAAGTAGAGGACTAACCGTGTGTTATGTTTTCGAAAATCAAATGGTATCTTTATGAGGAGGTAAATTTTAGTTGTAGTATAGATTGTCTTTTTGCAAAGAAAAAACATCAAGTTGTGCCAAATTATTTTCCTATGTTTGGCTGCTAGAACATGGTTACCATGTCTCCCTCTCTCCCTCTCTCTCTCTTTCTCTCTCTCACTTTCTCTTTGCATGGATTTCTTTGGAAAAAAATAATAAATGCTCAAATAAAAATGTATTGGGTCTTCTTTGCAAACCCTCATATATGGTGACTATGCAATGCTTTTTCTCCTCCTTTCCCATCAGGCCTCAGCGGAGTTTTTAACAGCCCTTCCTCTGCTTCCCTTTTGGATGGGTGTCAGTCCTAGCCGCAAGCTCCAGGTGGGCCACTCCCTGCCAACACACGCTCAATCCCTAATCTCCATTTGGAAATCTTGGTTAGAGTGTCTTGCCTATAAAATCAAAGGTACTAGGCCAACAGGTAGCATGGTGGTTAAGGTGCTGGATTCCCACATGGCTGGCTGAGATTCAACACCCGGACCCAGTGGCTTGAAAATCACTCCTGGTGCATGTGCATGTGTGCCCAAAATCCTGAGTGGAGAATGGAGGAGAAGGGATTTCAGCATGGCCATCCCCCTTGGGGCCTTGTTTCTCACTTTCTCTGTCTCTATCTCTCTTTGTCTCTCTCTAGCAAGCACACACACCCTATGAGGACAAAAACAAACAACCAACAACAACAAAAACTAAAGGTACCTCAAAACAGCTGTCTGGTCTAGCCTCTACAAATCTTACTTTGCTAAAAATGCTTTTGCCAAACAGAAATCCTCTGCATGGGTCATGTACAGTTGTACAATTAAAAGTCTCCCTTACCTCAATCCAGGTATGGGGGCCCAAACAGTACAAAGAAATCATTTCCCCAGCTTCTTTGCTACTGTTCCATTCTTGCTCTCTGTCACCTATCTCCTCCACAACTGCCATCTGGCAAAGCCAGCAGTTGCCCCAGGTCATATTGCAAAAGTTGTCATCAGCAAACTAATGATTTATAGGAAAGAGCTCTCAATCGTATATTCAACAACTAGGTTTTGTGTACCTATTGGGTTTCAAGTACTGTACCAGGTGCTGGAGACAGTAGAAAACCAAACACTGCTTCCAATGGAGCTGAAGGTCTGACACTAATATTAATTCCAATATAGGTTTTCTGTCCATCATGAGCCAAATGTTATCATTTTAATGTGTTTTTTTAAAAATAATTATTTATTTGATTTTTTTTCTTTATTCATTCATTTATTTCAACTTCACCCCAGACACACACACACACACACACACACACACACAGAGAGAGAGAGAGAGAGGGAAAGTGAGCAAGCAGGCCACCAGGTCCAGGACTCAAACCATGGTTGGCCATGTGGGAGTGTCCAGTACCTTAACCACCATGCCACCTTTGTCCCTTAAATGTATTTTTGTACATATAACATGGCAAGTAATAATGATATTTATGTTGGAGCCAGCAGGTGGCATGGTGGCTAAAGGTGCTGGATCCCCACATGGCCAACCATGGTTTGAGTCCTGGACCTGGTGATTTGCTTTCTTTACTTTCTCTCTCTTTCTCTGTCTCTCTCTGACCAAACTGGAAAAAATAATAAATAAATAAATAAGTAAATAAATAAATAAAATCTTTAAAAAATAATGACACATATGTTGATACTCATTTTGCTGCCAAGGAGCTTCAGGAATAACCAACTTGCCATTTTTATCACGTATATAATGTTCCGCTCACTGCCCTTTTGCCAGGTCAGGTCAATACAGACATTGTAGCTTCTATCTAAAGGGTGAGAATTCAATTCCCACCTGATAAGTATGAGAAAGAGACGGTGAGATCCAGAAAAGGGGTGTGAGCAAAGGTCAAGGAATGGTCCGGGAAGTCCCCTTTGATTCTAGGAGGTGATCTGAGGCAGGATCTCCAATTTCTGTCCGATGGCAGGAGGTCACCATGCGGGAAGCAGAAGGTGTAATTTCTCACAACTTATCGTTCCCCCCTCCTGCTGTTGCCAACACACTTCTGTCAGTCTCCTGCAGGGCACAGTCTCCAATCTTCATTTTCATCCCTTTGCAGAAACGTTCACAAACGCAAACTGGAAACGTTTGGTTAAGCATTTCCTTCAGTTGATTCTGTCAAAGTTAAAACTCCAGTCGATTGTACTTGTTAATTGAATTTCAGCGATTTGCAGCGGTTGGTAAGGGAAAGAAGCCAGTCGTCTTTGTTTGTTAACCACTGTTATTTCTACATTTGAATGGGGTTTGTGAGAACCTTTGGTCTTTGGTTTATGAAACCTAAACACTGAAAATGTTTAGTCCTTGGACCCGGATTATGATATCAGGACAATGCCAGACCAGAAGAAAGATCAAAAGGCCAGTCATCATCTAACAACTGTCCCTGTCATTTCATAAGAGGGTTTATATTTAACGTGACAAAAAATGATTTGTGGCTCAGACCAAGTTTTGCTCCTGTAAGCAGGAGAGGACTGTTCTAAGCCCATTTCTCATGCACCTCTCTTGAAACCTCAGCTTTCCTCCTGTAAAGTGGACTATTAGGACAAGATTTCTAACTTCTGGGATCAGCAGTTCACATAATGGCTATGTCGCTGGACTCCCACATAGTCCACCGCGGTTCGAGTCCCAGACCCGGTGGCTTAAACTCACGCCGGGCACGTGTGCATGCGTGCCCAAGATCCCGAGAGGAGAATGGAGGAGAAGGGATTGCGGCGTGGCCATCCCCCCTGGGGGTGATTTCTTGCTTTCTATCTCTCTATCTCTCTCTGTCTTTCTGGCGAGCACATGCACCCTATAGCAAAAACCTCTCTAAAAAGAAAAAAAAGATTTCTAACTTCTTTGTTGCTTGGAATTTGTGGTGACTGTGCTCTCTTGGTGCTGTGACTACCAACTATGGTTCACCCACGCTGGTCACAAGGGCTAGAAGAATGCTCCCTGTAATGCCCTCTGTCTTTGGGCTTCAGCCACACAGATGGGGTGAAAATGGATAACCACACACCTTTGCAAAACATGGAGAAATCACCACATCCTGTTGACATTCACTATGTCTTAGTAACTTGTCTCTTTTTCCTACTCCTTAAAGCTTTTTCTTTTTTTTTTTAAGATTTATTTATTTATTTATTTTAATTTGGCCAGAGAGTGTGTGAGAGAGAGAGCAAGCCGCTAGGTCTGGGCCTCAAACTGCTGTCGGCCATGTGGGAGTCCAGCATCCCTAACCACCACACCACCTGCCAGCCCCTCTCCTTAAAGTTTTTTTGCCATAGGGCATGTGTGCCCTCTGGGGAGAGACAGTGAGAGGACAAGTGAAAAATCACCCCATACTCCGGGGAAGGTTGGCTACACCGCAATACCTTCTCCTCCATTCACCTCCTGGGATTTTGGGCATGCACACACACGTTCCTCATGTGAATTTCAAGCCACCAGATTTAGGACTCAAACCACAGTTAGCCATGAGGGAGGCCAGCACCTTAACCACTACACCACCTGCTGGCCTATATATATATGTATCATTACTCTAGTTCAGAGTCCAGGTTCACAGCCAGTTGGTGGCTTTTTTCATCTCTAACGTATTTAGTTTCCCTTTGATTTCAACTTCCTCACCTGAAGTTGGACTATTTTGTCATTAGAAGAGTCCTGGCAAGTAGGAAGTTGCAAATTTCCAGGCTTCTCTCTCATTGGATGCACTAGGTTGCAAAATGGCTGGTTCACTAGAAACCTAAACTCTAGCATTTTTTTTTTCCAAAGGAAAAGCATTACTATAAATGAAGTATATACCAGTACTAAAAATTCTAATAGTATTTTAGATAATTTAAATAAATTTTTAAATGACATTTGTTCTTTAATTCCATACCTCTTAGATAGCCACTATTAAATGCTTGATTTATATGCTTCCAATCTTCCCCATCTCTCTGTATATGCATATTCACACACAAAATTATACTAAAAATACAATTCTATAGCATCAACCATTCATTATGAAGTTGAGTCTAAATCTGTCTTGTTTTCACCCATTGGTCTGGCTCTTACATAAAGAACAACAGGACAGTAAGATGACAGCACTTTTCGTACACCCTTCCATAATAATTGCCAGTTACTGCCTCTTTCCTCTTCTGACTTGTTTACCTTTATTTTTTATTTTTTAAAAGAATTATTTATTTAATTCCATTTGTTCTTGTTATTTTTTAATTTGACCAGAGAGAGAGAAAGGAAGAGCAAGAAAACAAGTTGCCAGGTCAGATCTCAAACTGCACTCAGCCATGTGGGAATCCAGCACCTGTAACCACCACGCCACCTGCTGGCCCCTGGTCGTTTGCTTTTCTAAATGCATCTTATAAGCTGCTTCAACCCTGCTCCATGCTCCAGTGGGCCAGTGGTCCTCTTGTACTGTCAGGCCCACAGCTGAGTCCATAGTACAAGTGAAGCCTACACAGAGTGGACGGTGGGTCATTATGTTCTTATAGGGCCAAGGACCTCTATCAGAGCCATCTTAGAATGCAGACAATTGCTAAGCAGCCACATTGCACTATTTTAATTTCCAGAGGCTATGTGTGCTTGCCAGAGAGAAAGGAAGAAATGGAAAGGAGAGGTGAAAGCATCCCCAGTGATATGCAGACATGCTGCAATCCTTTCTTTTCCATTTCTCCATCCCTTCAGGATTGTGAGCATGCACACACATGTGCCCCATGTGGTTGTCACACTGGTAGGGCTGAGATTCGAATCTTGGTAGGCCATGTGGAATCCAGCTCCCTTAACCACTAGGCTATGGGGCTAGCCCCACATTACACTTACTGTGTAATGAGCTTGCGGCCAACTGAAACCCTGAGGTGTTTTTTGCAAGAACAGCTGACAAGCTGCGTCTCCTCCATACTTGAACAACTGATTTTTTTTTAAGAATTATTCATTTATGGGGCTAGCAGGTGGCATAGTGGTTAAAGGTGCTGGACTCACACGTGGCGACAGTCCTGGACCTGGTGGCTTGCTTTCTCACTTTCTCTTTCTCTCTCTGCTGATCAAACTGCAATAATAATAATAAATGAAGTTAAATAAAATAATTATTTTAAAGAAAATAATTTTTTTTCTTTTATTTGTTATTTATATTTTAATTTGACCAGAGAGAGAAAGTAAGAAAGCAAGCTGCCAGTTCCAGGACTAGAACCAT